CATAACCTATACATAACCTAAAAAAAAATTTCACATCCATATTGAAAAAAGTTTTTTCAGACAAATTTAAAGAAAAATTCTAAATAAAAAATTTTTAATTGAAGCATGATTTTTTGGACTTTTCTAGAAGTTACTATACATAACCTAAAAAAATTTCACATCCATATAGAGAAAAAATTTTTTCGGATAAATTTCTGTACCTGAATTTCTAAAGTGAAATTTTAAATTTTATAATATTCATGTAATTCTCGTCTATATTTTTTTTTAATTTGAAGGCCTTAAAGGTTCTTAATTCTTGTATATAAGACATTTAGTTTTTACTCACCTGAGACAACAAATTTTCACAGATTTAGGAAATGAATAATATTTTCACTGATTTGTGAAATAAAAAAGATTTCTCAATTCTCTATAATTCAAATTTGAAATATATTGAAAAATGAAGCAATGAAAGCAATATAATATGAATTCTTTGAAATTTTCAAGTTGAATTAATTAAAATCAAGACACTGCAATATTTCACTGTTATCTACGGAGGAAGATAGTTTCCGAATGAAATTCGTCAAAAATTTAAGTTAGCTGCCATTTGCATTAAACCAGTGTTGCTTAAACGTATTAACAAGTGTTGACGTGTTTAATTATTTTGATGCAACTTATACTATGTCTACGCAAACAAATATTGATAACTTAATATTTAATAGTAATTAAATATTGAAACTAAGTCAAAGGAATAATTTAAAAGAAAGTATATAATCGCATCCATTATTTGGACTCCAGCATAGTCTTATACTGACTACAGACTACATCAGTTATTTTCGCAGTTTATATAGCACTTTTCCTAAAAATGGCGCAAGTTGGATGACAGAACCTAATATATTACATGTAATGTAACATATTATATATATAATCTGTAATATATATTATATATAGATATAACCCTATCTAAAACTATATAATTAAAACATTAGACTCTTCGAGCTTAGTTCAACAAATAAGTAATATTTTTCCGACGGATAAGAACGCAGAGACGATATTAGTAAATCTTTGTTCCCTGTAACACGTCATGTTTCGATTTAATTCTAAATAGAATTATTATTTCATTAAACGACAAGGAAGAAAACCTTCAAGTGGATAGTTGTATGCGAAATATTCAAACAGTCAGTTAAACCGCCAGTGTCGCAGCCGTTTAACTGTCCAACAATTTTGGATGCCTAAGAAACTTTTACAATACTTACTTACTTAGTTGGTTATTACAAACGTGAATCGTCCTTGGCCGCGTCGAATAGCCTCCGCTAGTCAACCCGATTAGTTGCTTGCTGTCGTTAGTTAGTAATACCGATCGCTCCCAAATCGTTGATCGCCTGGTCCTTCCACCGAAGATGCGGATGTCCTCTACCGCGTTTTTCACCTGCGGGTACCGAATCAAACATCTTTCTAGTCGGAGCGCTTTCTTCCAATCACACGACATGACCAAGTCAGTGAAGTTGCTTAAGGCGCTTAACTATGTAAATGTCGCGATATAGCTCATACAGCTCATCATTCCATCTGATTTGACATCCATCACCAACGCGTAAGGGACCATAGATCTTTCGAAGAATTTTTCTCTCGAATGCTCCTAATGCCTTCTCATCACTGTTCGTAATTGTCCAAGCTTCTGCACCATACAGCAGGACAGGCATGATAAGAGATTTGAATAGCGTGATTTTTGTTTGTCAAGGGAGGGCTTTATTTCTTAATTGCCTACTTAGCGCGAAGTAACATCTGTTGGCACTAGTAGTTCTTCCTTGAATCTCCAGGCTGACACCATTTGACTTTCACAATATATTTGAAAAATATTACCGAGTACGAGAGGAAAATAGAGGAACCCATATATAAGTCCAATTAATTTAATTTAATTATTTCTACCATTTATTATTATAGAGGGACCTTAAGAATAGGACATAAAATGCTTCTAAATATACTTTGATAAATCACTACACAAATATACTTCATTTATTGCTGCTCTCGATTCATGTTTAAAAATTTTTAATGTTTTTTCCTGAAAATATCCTATAGTTTGGGAGCCGGTTCAGGTAATTATTGAAACATTTTTTTATAACATCAAAGTTGCTTTCGATATTAAATCACCCAATATCACATAACTAATAAGCTTCACATCTTTACGTATCTTTACGTATCAACACAAAATATTTTCTGGTTTTAAATGCATCAGGTTCTTCACAAATGTAGAAAATCTCATGTCATTTGAAATATTACCACTTCGTAGATGGAGGTGAGAAAACTCAATGCGAACAAAATAAATACAATCAATACTTTGCAAACTATACATTATTTAAATCGCACTTTAGAGCTATTCATTCAATAGAAACTACTATAAATAATGGCTAGTGTCACGATGATATAACACAAAACTCAAGAAGTAACATTTATGATACAAATAAATTACCAAATGCTAGCAATATTTTAAATCCCAAAACTTCTTATGTTGAATTTAATAGCAACGAAAACGATATTTTGAAGCTAAGGAAAGAAAGTTGTGTCATGAAGCCTAGAAAAATACTCCCCAACATTTATGGCACCAAGAAAAATTATGAATATATAAAGTAAGATATTCAACTTGATTTCAGATATTTCAAAAAATTTTAATTTATTTTTTACCGATGGTAATTCAAACAACAAAAAGGAATTGCACAATTCCAAAGGCATTTGTTTCAGACCAATTAAGAAATAAAATCAGGACACCGATTTCTTAATATTTTACAAAATATAAACATATTTCAGAATCCACAAGATTAGAAATTTAAAATATTGTTGTAACAAAATTATCGAATGGTGATATTTTCTTTGTACCAGCACAGCTGCATATATACATACTGTCTCAGAAGTTTCAAGCTCTGAAATCCCTTTTTGACGCTTCTCCTTATGTATAATTTAACTCCACCAAATAATATAACTAACGGTAACTCTTCTTAACCGTCGCATTTTATCCTAAAAAAGTGCCAGAAAACTTTTCAGATTAAAAAAGAATGGGTTCCCTCAAAATGAAATTGTAATATCCATATGTGTGACTTCAATACTGACATTACACTGTCAACTTGCGGTATACTATATGTTTCTCATTTCCCAGTCTTACAGAATATTTGTTGTCAAAATTAGATTTCATCGCAGCTTTAATAACTTCCAATAATCTTGAAACTTGTAGAAAAGAAATTTTACATTTCCATCTCTTAAATCAGATAAATAATTTATATATGTAAGCGGTGCTATATGTGAGTATGAGCAAAATGTATGAACTAAATATTCACATAAACAACCATGACAAGGAAACTGCTTAATACAAAAAGTAATTCTTGGATCGCGTTCCGTCACTCTATATAGATGGTGTAGCGGTTGTCTCAAACAACTATCTTTCGACAAGCGTAAAATCGTTTGTGCTTAGAGGCCAGGCTCTAAAAAGAGACTTTCTCAATAGTACCACAATGGTAAGTTAGGACGAATGACATTCTCAGGGACCTAACATTGATCCGATCAAAAATACCTTAAGAATAGAGGCCTGAAATTATTTGCGAAAACTGACAGACTTACCAGCACCGCGTTATCGAATCTCAGAATGGTTACAGGCTCCCTGGGAAGAAATGTTGAAATGATAAACAATAAACTAGTCATGGCGTAGAAAGATGTTATGAAGAAACCTCGCAGTTAATAGAGAGTAAAAGTGCTCAAGTGCACTGACCCAACTAGCCTGAACATAATAATAATAAACATGAATTATAATTTATTTCTAATTGCATTTTTTATAAATTTGATATATTTCACATAACAGAAAATACATATTTCGACATAGTATATGGTATATTTGAAGGCCATGATATTGTTACATATGGCACGTCCTAAAGCAATATGTTCATTTTTATGCAAACAAATACAGCTGGATTTTTCAAATCATTCAAAGTTACTGTCTTATGACTGGGTTGATGGTGTATTCTTAATTAATATGCAAGCATTCATGGATATTTTTAGTCGACGTTTACTTTACTTAACATAAATCTTTTGGTGGTGGTTTCGTTGGCACATTTCCTGGAGTAAATGTATCTGATTTGAAAGCCTCAAGTTCTTCATTAGTTAACAATTGTAATGGTGTATATAATTGAGTTGCTGGGATTATTGCATCAGTTAAATACTGAAACGACTGCTCCTGAGGTTGTTCCACCACCAACATTGGTTCACTAGATGGCGGTAATATCTGCTGCATTTCACTTTGAAAAAGTGTGTTAGTAGACTGATTTTGTTCACAATTTTGTATAAATTGATTAGAAAAGATGCTTGGAGTATTTGAATTAAATATATTATTTGCACCGTGAGATTCTTCAAATATTGATTTTGTGTATTGTAGTTGTTGTTGCTGACCAAATGCACCGAAGAATTGTTTTTGTGGCTCAACACTTGAGGCTTGTCCAAAATAATTTGAATTATTGCTCTGCGCTTGCATTCCATGATTTTGTTGTGAAAACAAAGAATTAGTTTGGGAACCACTAAAAATTGAATTTGAGTTCAGTACGTATGATTTTTTAAAAATGGACCCAAAACTCTGTTCTACAGACGACGAATCACCAACCGACGCAATATTTTGCATAGTTTTAAAATTACTAGCTTCAAAAATATTTTGATTAGTCTTAGTAATGCCACTCGTAACAGACTTGTCATTATATTCATAAATGTTGACTACCATTTTTACAATATCAGGAGTAAACTTCAAAAGCGCTTTCAACTTCTGCATTGCTTCCAAAAATTGCTTGTTGACGGCTTGATGAACCTTTGCAAAATCATTTATCTGATTACCTTTGTAATACACCGCACGAATTTCTTCAAACGATAGATCTTTAACAAAATCTGGTATACACGGTTTACCACTAAACGGTCCATAGCACGACAATAGCCACTGATTGCCATGAATTGTCTCTTGTATATCAGTTTTTATGATTTGTTCAATATCAATATGCTCATTACAACATCTAGAACCATACCAACACTGGCCACGCAAAAAATATTTACAAATTGCCATTATGCCGTCAAATTACTACTAGATTGTTGTAAAAAGTAAGATTTAGTGTTTAGAAATTTCTATCTATAACTTACTAAATACAAGGTAATGACAGAAAATATATGACTAGATATTATAAAAGACATTTCAAAAACAGGGTTGCTAAAATATGATAAAATAAAATAAGCGGATTTCTGTTGCTAGTTTATAAAACGTTTATAAAACAGAAATATTAAGCAATTTATTATCTTAAATTAAAGCCACTCACATTTACTTAAAGTTTGACAAGGAATGGCATTAGCGACTTTTATCATTTAAATCAGCTATTTTATTGACTGAGTTATGATTTTAAAGGAAATGAATGCGAAATTAAAAAAAAAGTATTTTTTGAAGGAATCGATTTAATTTTAACATTACATTATATGAAATTATATACTTGTTTCCAATTTATTGCAAGTAATATCAAAAAGCCGACAACTCTGTTCCAGTATTTAAGCAGTTCTTGAGCTAATTACGGATTGAAAACGGATTGGCTTACCAACACCACGTTATCAAATCTTAGAATGGTAACAGGCTCTTCGCGGAGGTATGCAGATCTGAAGTGAATTATTGCTTAGTCTGGTGTAGTGATAAACATTAATCCAATCAAGGCGTGGAAGGTGTTATGAAGAAATCTCGTAGTTAGTAGAGAGTAAAAATGCTCAAGTGCACTGTCTCAACTAGCCTCAACTAGCTTTCAACCTAAGAGTACTGTTGCTCCCATCCTGACAACGTTGTTCAATTAGATATTTTAAAATTAATGGTCGGTGGGTTTCATTTAGACATTCATGGTGGATTTATCAGAAGTCCTATTACACCAACACAATATAGCTTAATTAAATATTGAATGCGCAATATTCATATGCGTCATATACACACGTATGTATATTAGGTGTAATGCATTATTTTCTGCACAAACATTCTTTCACAAGAAGAGAAAGCTACACAGGCCTTTGTTGTGTCCCTTCACTTACCATGATATATGACTGTAGTGATAAATGCAACTCTAGCTGGCATTCTTGACGGAATGATAGTTTTTAAGTCACTCAGAAAGCTCAATGTAATGTAACAATTGAACAATAAAGTTAATTATATCTATCTTCCTTCCCTAACCCATAGCTCCATGACGGACTTTTTAACTCACTTTCTAGCAAAAAAACCTCTCAAGCCTCTAACGGAAGCCACGTCTTGCAGGTTGTGTTTTTTCCAATAGCATTTTGCTGATAAATTAAAATATTGTATTTGTTATTATTTCACTATTCTTTTATCTGGTTAATTAATTGGAATCATTCATTTGATTTCCGAAAACTGCGAACTACCTATTAAATTAATTAACAACGGAGGCAAAAGATTCCTTATAAAAGTTAAAAACAACATAATTCCTTTTCTGCATTCGGGGGGTTTACACAGTAAGTATTTAAAACTCAGCATAATTTTAATAAGGTTATTGTAAATATAAAGTTTATTAAATATTAATCTCGAATATAATGTGAAATATAATGGACATAATTTAAACAAAAGCGTTTTTACATGGCTTCCTCGTATTTTTGACTATACCATCTTTTTCCATATCCTGCAATTTCCTTCTCATATTTTAATATTGAAACTGTTCTGTTGCGTTTGTCTTATTGTTATTAATTAAGTAGCTTTTGTTATTCCATTGGTCATTAATACCAGGCGACATATTCTTATACATATATTTATATTTATAAAAGCATATTTTAAAATACATTTTTTATGTTGACACTGCTGGCCTCGATTAATGGAAAATCTTTATTACGAATTCCATATTTGCGTTGCAGTGCACTTCCCCGGGCATTGTTACTGACAGTCAATTTGAATTAACGACAATATTTGCGGTTTCTGCATGTTCAAGGATTAAGAGCTTTAAAGGAATTCGCATAATTTATGTACATACTTAAAGCAAAATTAATTAAAATTTTAATCCTGTATGTAAAAGAATTTAACACTTCCACTGTATTGCTTTTATGGGAGGCATTAAAAACCTTTGCATGGATAGTTGTTTGCTGTTGTTTCAGATACTACGGGGTTTACTTGTCCATAATACAATTCAGTTCATTGCTAATTTAAACGAAAGTTTATAAAATTTATTTGCTAATTTCCACAGAATATGTAGAGTAAAAATGCTGTCTACGTACGGGAATACTATTTTAAATAGATGCCTAGTACTATCTATTATTGTTACTGACTATAACTGATCTATTAGTCTATTTGACAAGTTTTACAGTTTAATCATATAAAATTCTTAAAGTGTTAAGAATAATAAATATTTTCCAACATTTTCATAACTTTCTTCTTCAAGTTCCAATATATTAATTTTATTTCAGACAGAACTATCTGTGTTCGCAGTGCAAATAAGTCACAATTAAAGCTCAGCGACTCCGGCAACTAAACAATGAAATATTTCTATCATAAACCTTGGCGTAAACTGTTTAGTATTAAATTTTCATAAGTTCCCAATTTAAGGCAGTTACGGTATTGCGGAGACATTCGTGCTCTAAAATTTCGTATAATTGAAACATAGTGCAAGTGGAAAATTTTTAATGCCTTCGTTAGGATTTTATCTTTACAAGAGTTGGCCACTTGTAATGTGTGCAGCTGGGATAAGGCCGGACTGTGCGCAGAATAATAAATTACTTAAGCTCGTTAGAAACGAGAATAGCACATTGTTATCTCTAACAAAATATAAAAAGTCCTGTGTGGCAGGCATAGGGAATCACTTCGTATGCTACGAGAGGGGGGATAACATAAAGCACTTAATAAATGCTTTCACAGAAGGGAAAAGGGAATTTAAATTAAAGTTACTTCAATTTAAATATTATCAGGACTTTCATCAAATAATTAAATAAAAAATTTTTGTAACTTAAATTTTTTAAATAATCTAAAAAATACACACGAGGTTT